CGCAGAGAGTTACACAGAACCACACCCACAAACTTCCTGTACCATGTCCTCTTGACAAACTGGCTCCCCTTACAGGTGCTGTGGGCTGGGTTGAATTTGAAAGAAAAGGGGATCCATATTGGCTCTCCACCTGAGGAGTAAAAGGTGAAACAGGTGAAAAGGTGTCACTAACACAGAGGAGGAAAAGCATCACCATGAACCCACAGAGAAGAACATCTGAGGGGCGAGATTCTAAGTCTTCTGTCTTTCTAAAACTATTGCACAGCTCGCTGACCATGAATTTGAGATGTGTGTTCAGTGTATGGACGTACCAGGTGGTCTTTCAATGAGAAGAGGATCGTCTGAAAGAAAAAATGCAATCAGTCCACCAGAGATGAAAAGCACCCAGGCAGCGCTGCAAGTTTAATGCATTCACCTGATTATAGGAAAGAAAAACTCATAATACACATAACAAATGCAGAGTACATCTGGTAGTCTGCTCCTACTTCAAGGATGCAAATATCTTGCACTGCAATAAAATCAATATTTTCATCTGCCCACTGCACGGACGGCACACATTTTTGAAAAGAAAAGAAAGAAAATCTAGAGCCAGTTGGACTGAGGTTTGCACTCTAGTCAGTGGGGCATCCCACAGATGATCTCTGTAGGTGCTGACAGGCTACACACCTGATTCAGTGACATAGGTGAGCGTATCGCTGACCGGTCCCAAACCAAACACGTTCTTGGCCTGCACTTTGAAGTAGTACCTGAATGAAAACAAACCACAACATAAAGATTTAATGAGTTAATAAAGTGTCGCTCTGCCAGTTTTGTTGTAACTGTGTTACAGTGACGAAAATATTAATGACCAAAGCAGATGACTAGGTATGCTTCAGTCTGACTGATTTAAGAGTAGTCTATTTTATCTTTGTATAAATCCAAAGTAAGCACAGCACAATAAAATGTGGGAGAAAGAGGGAAGGAAAGTGAGGAAATGGCAAGTGGGGTAAAAAAGCCATCTAGACAAATGGGGTTATCCAATAGGAGGAGAGGATAAGAAGGAAAGTCAAAAAGAAGGGTGGGAAAAGTAAAGAACAACCAAAATGATAAGATCCTATCAAAATAAAAACAGCACCATCAATGAGAACTCCTAAACTTTGCAAATTGTTCTACTGTAGATAGCTGATGTGCTTGTGGAAGGGTATGTTCATTCATGCAGCTTTGTGTGCCTACATGCTGTTACTCTGCAAAATCACATGCACTAAGTTCAGTCTGTCACTTTCTAACCAGAAACATTCACCAGCCATGAGGCCTGGAATCAATCAGCACAGCCACGTAACAACAGTGACAAAAATATATATCATCACAGAGAGAGAGTAAGAGAAGAAAGCAAAGCAGCTGCACAGAGATGAAGTAATGATGAAAGAACCTGGAGAAGAAACTGGAGAAGGCAGAGAGAAAAAAATGTAAGTCAGAATAAAATATATTGAACGGTACATTAGGTCAAACTGGCCATTTGAAACTTTCAGTACAGACATCTTGCAGCTTCATTCAGAGCACTGCTCTTGTCATCAGATGAACAGCTATGTGACAACTTTATAGGATGTAGGCCAAATTCAGCCTGCTCCTGAGAATTTACATGACAGCTCAGC